AATTTGAGAGTCCCGCGCCCGAGTGTTTGTTCGTAACCGACCTTATTTTTCTTTGCAAGTTTCTGTACAAAAGACATCACTTCAAAGCTTGCTGTGGAGTCCAGGCCGCTAGTCGGCTCATCAAGGAATATTATTTTCGGACAGGTGATCAGTTGGCTAGCAACGCTTACACGGCGTTTCTGGCCACCGCTAATGCCTTTGCGAATTGGGGTCCCAATTAAGGTTTTGGCCTGGTTTTGTATTCCGAATGCATTTAGAAGGGTGGAGATACGTTCCAAGCGTTCCTTTTTCGGCACCGAGCTTCAAACGAGAGGTTAGGATATGATTCCAATTGGGCATGTAGGTACAAAAAACCTACTCACCTGGGAAGGGATAGCTGAGCACAGAAGTACAAGGTCTCCTCCACTGTCAAGGCTCCCACCAGAATATCTTCCTGCTCAACGTAGGAACTTATGTTCCTGAATGTCTCGAGGTCGATTTTCCGTCCGTTGACGAGAATTTCTCCTTCAATTTCAGCACCAGAGGCCGAGTCACGATGGGCGAGGACGTTCAGCAAAGTAGTTTTCCCACTGCCAGAAGGGCCCATCAGGACCACGACTTCCCCTATGATCGAGTTAGCGCTTCCTCCGCGAGGTTGAGTGACGCAAACTTGCTCGGCGCCTGCACGTGAAATGTATGTAGAAATACGGACCTGGGTTGGCATGGCCGTTCGAGTTTTCCAGAATAGCCTTCGGTTTCTTTGTTTCGCGGTCCTTGACTGTGACAGACACACCTTTCCAAGAAAAGGAATGGACAGTCTCGTTCATAAGAAAAGCATGTTGCTCACTGCTGGCTGCCTCGAGATCTGCAGACATGGTGAAGCCAATTGACGTACTCTTTGCTTTCCTGTAGTTCTCAAAAGCACTCGAATTTAACTCGCAGAAGCGAAAGAAAAAGAAACAGGGTAGAATCGAGCCTCCCTTTATTTGTAAATGAAATCGAGGAGATTAATTAATGATGCATCATGAAACTCCTCCAGCCGCTTAGCACGCACTCTTTATTTATAACAACTTGCCCTGCCGCCCTCTCCGGGGCTCCAAAGCCCGCAGCGGTGACCAAAGTGGATCCGGAACGACTAGAACTCCCCGAAGGCTCGTCAAGTTCGCGGTGAAATAAAGTTCGCTCGCTGACAGTGTCTTATTTCCAAACCCAAGAGGGACGCAACAACCTTCAATACGCTGGACCCATGTGATCCGGATACCTGCTGGGCCCGCTCCTTTGCGCAGGCATTGCGGCATGGGGGAGCCCTGTCGAGGCCGCTAGAGCGCTGCACCGCTGATAAGAAAAAAGTGCAGTAGCCCGACCTTAAGTTAAAATAGTTGTAATTAGTCGCACCGGTCCACCGAACACCCTGTGTCTTGCGAGGGCCTGCTGGAGGTGGAAATTATGGGCCCAGCTGGAGGCGGGTAGCAACCAGCCATTGTGGGGAGGGATTAGAGCCAGCATCATCGGGGCGCACCAGGCTAGTCTCACTTGAACGATCATCGGGGAGATGAATGACGGTTTATTCAGACACAGAAGGGGAAATGAGAGGGGTGGTCGAGATTGTCGAAATCGATGTGAAACCGCGGGCGAGCACAGATACTTATAAGCTTTCTAGAATTTCTGCACCCGATAAAGGGGTCAACAGTCAACATCATTCCCCGATTCCAGGGTCAACGTGAAGCAGCTAACACATCCATTGTTGCTGCGAGCAATCTCGAGGGAACAATGTCAAGCCAGGGAGCGGTGCGCTAGACCAGAACCAACCCCAGCCACCGCCAACTGGCATTCATCCCCATGAGCCTTGACTTGCATAGGCATGCATACATCGAGAACTAGTAGTCCATAGTAAGCGATGGATGGATATCCAGACCCTGACAAGATCCCTCCCTGATCCGTACTTGCGAGAGACAATTCCAAAGTATCGTGTTGAATGCAGTACGCAGTACGCAGTACGCAGTAGTTGGCTTTCTCTCCACAATTTGATAATATGCTCGTAATTATCTCCACAACCAAAGAACGTCCGCTGGTGAAGGAAACCAACAAAACCAAGCATTCTTAGCTGATCTTGGTTGACGGGATTTAACTCTATAAGTTAACTTACCACCAGCATCGCCTGCACATCCTGCAGTCAGTGCGCGACCTTGGACCGCTTCCATTCACGAGTCACCGTCGCTGCCAGATCTCTTGGATCAACGAACCTCACCCGAGCCATGCTAGCGGCTTCGTGATGGCACATTCCCCCGAACCCGCTTCAATTGTTCCTGACGAGACAACGACTCCATCTCAACTCCACCGCTGCTCTCCCTTGTCCTGTTCGCAGCCCCTGATTCTCTGCAGTTTATCCTGCGTCAAAGACGGGGGAAACGAACTAGCTAATTAAACTATGCTGGCCAGGCCGCTCAGAGCGCTGGTCGCGTTTTGCTTCCTTCTTCTCACATATCTCTCATTTAGCTCGTTCAGGAGATCGTCGGATACCAGGACAGACGTCCTCCCATCTCCCTTCGAAGCCCGTTCGCTCCAATCCCGCCAGATCAGATTCTGGCACACTCTCCTGCCGATCCTCCAGCAGAATGCGCCAGACTGCCCGTCCCCGCATCGAGATCGCAATGCGGGAGCGGTTGGCTTCAATGCGACCGAACCACCCCCACGTCCTTCCCTGATCTCCATGCCAGAGCAGGATGTGCTTAAGATGCAGCAGGCACATACACGGTTCTTGCAACACGTCAAGTCGTCCTCCGATTTGAATCCCATTGTTATTCCGGAAAGTCGCGGAGTGGTGTATGCGGCGGGGGGCAGTTATCTGCCAGTTCTCGTCTCCTCTTTGCGAATGTTACGCCGGACCGGTTCAAACCTGCCTGTCGAACTCTTCCTCAAAGACCGTACTGAATACGAAAGTACCATTTGCGACGAAGTCCTTCCCTCACTGAACGGCCGCTGCGTTGTCCTTTCTGATATACTCAGCGCCACTCCTATTCCCACAAATGGCGATGGCGACTCTCTTGCCAGCTATGACAACCAAGTGCCTAAGACTGAGATAGCGCACTACCAACTCAAAATATTTGCCATGCTTTTCTCCTCCTTCGAGGAAATTGTCTGGCTAGACGCAGACTGTTTCCCTTTACACAAGCCTGAAGAGCACCTTAACTCAAACCCCTACAAAATGACTGGAATGGTCACCTGGCCCGACTTCTGGATCTCCACCGTATCCCCCTTATACTACAACATATCGCAACTACCAATCCCATCTATGGGACTGCGCGCCTCGTCGGAAACCGGCCAAATACTGCTTTCCAAGAAGTCACACCAAATCACCCTGCTCCTCTCCACCTACTACAACTACTACGGACCTTCACATTACTTCCCGCTCCTCTCACAAGGTGCCCCAGGCGAAGGTGATAAGGAAACATTCCTCCAAGCCGCCTCTGCCGCGGGAGAGCCGTTCTACGCCACCAGCGAACCCGTCAGGGCAATCGGACACGTGAAAGGAGACGGTAACGACATCGCAGGTTCCGCAATGGTCCAATTCGACCCCTCAAACGAGTATCGCAATTCCCAAACCACCCTCACAAGCTCACACAATAAGATGAATAGTAACCACCGCCACAGCGACAGCAACAGCAACAGCACCAGCAACACCACCCCACTGCGCGTCTCCTTCATCCACGCCAACTTCCCCAAATTCAATCCAGCCACCGTCTTCGACCAAACCCACGAGACAAAGCCCACCTACAGACCTGACGGCAGCGACGGCCGCGCATGGGTTGTGGCGCGAGACACTCTCTCGCGCTTCGGATATGATGTAGAACGCGCGTTCTGGGAGGAGATTATGTGGGTTGCGTGTGAGTTGGAGGGGAAATTTAAGGCATGGGAGGGCCATGAGGGGATCTGCGAGAGGGTGCGGAGATATTGGGCGAATGTGTTCGGGGAGGGGGCGGGGGATGTGGATAGGGTGACGGAACTTTGGGGTGACGGAGCTGTGGGGAAGGAGGCATGACTGTAGAAATAAAAGAACAGCGGGCAGGGATACGTTGGGAGGGAAGCCCCCTAGTGGATGGATGAGGGATCGTATATAGTTATGTGCTTTTCTCTTATTTCTTTCCCCTTCTCGGTTTGGGTTTGGGTTTGGTTTATTGCATTACACGTTTCTTTTGTTACTGAGCGGCCATTCCATTCCATTCTTATATATTGATATAGATAGATATCTTCTTTTCATTCTCATTTTCCCCTCCAGTGCTGGTCTCAACCTCGTCCCCCCACCCCTCACCTTTGCCCCGGGCTTCTTTTACTTTGCCCTCATTCCCTTATCATTATCTATTTTAAACTGTTGCACATACGTTTCTGTAAAACATACATACCTGTACATACAGATAAGTTGTCTAGATATGCAGATACCCGAGTTTCCTGGGCTCCTCCTCCATAAAGAAGATTTGTATATAATATTCCTAGAAAGTTGAGTATTGGATATCCACACGTCTAGGAATTATAATGTGTTTCGCCCTCACTCGTTGGTCAATGAAGATAGTCGGGTTTGGATCTCGAAATTTCTCATTGCAATAATTGAAAAATGCCCGAGCTTCTTAAAACAATTAACTTAAAAAAGTTTTGTATTGTTAACTATTTCATCATTTTTCCTGACGCTTTTATCTAGCTATGGTCTCTTTCTATAATTCTTTTCTCTCTCTATTCAGCACCCGACTCCCGATTTCAGTGATATATTCATATTTGTCGGGGATTTGAGGAATTAAAGGGTGACTGAGTGATGTTGAAGCTCTTTTCAAGGATGACACTCTCATACAGATATATATATACATTATAACAGAAATCTGCTCACCTCCTTGTCTGTCTGCAAGATATATGAGTGGAGAAACTAATAATATCGAGATTTCTGCATGTCTGTCTGCTCACAGAACTGTCTGTAGCGCTATAGAGGCTAAGGACTGCCAAACGAAAACTGGAGGTTGCTTTTTCCTTCCGCCTATGAGATATATTGATGGCAGTGATACACCCAATTTTAAAATAAAGAAGATCAATGGATATATAACTACCAGTATTTACAGTAATACATATATTATACGGCTAAACGCAGTCGTCTGTCAGCAAGCAGAGTGCACACTATCAAGTGTGAAGAAAGTACATGGAGAGAGCGAAGCATGCCTGTGGTAATATCTATAGAAGTAGAAAGAAGCATTCCTGCATTATGTGCAGAAGGATATGCAGCTCTATATCCAACACCAAGCCACCGTTCCGTAAACCAGCGATATTCCATATTTACATATTGCACAACAGGGATACGAAAAGAGCATATTCAAAATCTCAGGCCATTCCGATCCCTTCGACTCCACTGATGAATCTCAGGCCCCTTCGTCACATCCCTCGTCTTCTGCCTATACAACATCCGTGTCAGTTGCTTATACAGGAACACAGAGCTACCGTGATACGTAATAGAATGGTCAGAATCCGTAAACCACTGCGACACCATCTTCTGAGGTGGCACCCCACCGCCCATCAACATATCGGTCAGGGCAGCAGAATGCTGGAAGTGCACGTTATCGTCTCCCGTGCCGTGCTGCAGTAGGAAACTGCCCGCGATATTAGAAAAGCCCGCGGGCTTGCGCACTGCGCTTGTGTTATATCCCGCCTCGTTCAGTTCGTAGGTCTTCATGTAGCGTTCGGTGTACATGCTATCGTACAGGCGCCAGTCAGTGACGGGTGCGGTGATCATACCGAAGGAGAAGACGCCGCTGTCAGTCTCGAGCACCTTGGATGAGAGATAACCGCCATAGCTCCAGCCCCATATGCCGATACGGTCCTTGTCGACGAAGCAATTCTTACCTATGACCTTCGCAGCTGCGACTTGGTCTTGCGCTTCGAGTAGGCCGAGTTGCTTGGCGACGGCTGCGCGGAATTTGCGGCCCCTGAAGCCCGTGCCACGGTTGTCAACGGCCCAGGTGATGTATTCTAACTCTGGGTCGGATGCGATGTAGGCTTTCCAGTCCAGCGCCTTCCAGGCTTTGCTAGCCTCTTGAGCTCCTGGTCCACCATACGGGGTGAAGAGGACCGGGTATTTCTTCCTTTGGTCGAAGTTTGCTGGAAGGCGCTGCATGACAGTGAGGTTGAAGCCGGATTCCATGGAGAGGTCAAAAAATGAGATTTTGGGTAGTTTGAATTCTTTGAGCGCGTCTACTATTTCCTCGTTGCTGGTGATCACTCGAAGCGGCTTAGGGAAATCAACAGAGAAGAGTTCCTGGTAAGGAACGTCTGGGCCACCGTAGGTGAGCAAATAATATCCGCCCTTGGAGGAGAAGGACGCAGACCAGAAACCTGCGACTGTGTCATCGACGAGAGGTTTGCTTTTCAAGGTGCGGTATGACACCGAATACAGATGCCGTTCTGTAGGGTGATGTTTGGTTGAAAGGTAATAGATCAATTCGCGCTCCCTGTCGATGCTAACAATGGACGTGACCTCCCATTCTCCAGAAGTCAATGAGATCGGCTCACCTCCCTCCACGGGGAACAAATAAATATGTGCCCATCCAGTCACATCAGAGATATCTGCATAGTAGGTGTTGTGATGGCCTTGGGTTTTTTCGTTTTGAACCTTGCCGACATACTTGATGGACAATAGATTGTCCAACCAACCATCGGTGCCATCTCTTTCACGAACTACCAAAGATTTTCCAGAGGAAGCATGCACCAGAATAACTTTTTCTTGATCTTGGACTCTATTGAAAGCGCGGAACACGACTGCTTCGTGCTTCTCAGTGACCCACGCAACTTCACCAATGATTAGGTCATCCGCGGGAAATGCTTCGGAAGACACCTTTTTGCTTTTGAGGGAGTTCATGTCTAAGATAAGGAATTCGACTCGGGGATTGGTTTGAGACACCTTTGGATAACGGATATCCAATTCCTTTGGGTAGGACGGAGGCACTTCTTGATTGCCCAGATAGTACGGAACTGTATATGTTGGTACCCCAGTTTCATCAAAGCGTAGGAAAGCAAGATATTGCCCGTCAGGGGAGAACCAAAGCGCATACCGATCGCCAAAGATTTCTTCCTCATAGACCCAATCGGGGACACCATTAAAGGTGTCAACACCTCCGTCCGAAGTAATTTGCGTAGTGGTACCGTCCTTCCAGATAAACAAATTGTTTCCACGGACGTATGCAATTGAATTTCCAACAGGGCTCCAAGCAGCATACTGCAGATCGCCGGCTTGGTCTTTGGCCAAGGGAGTCAATTCTCCAGACTCAACGTCTTGAATGAAGTAGTTTGCGAAATAGGAATGGCGATACTGCTTGGTGTAGTTGGTAGCCCACATAACTGCTGATAGGTCTGGCTTGAGGAAATATTCATGGGCATCATCTGGCACCTGGTCAGAATCGATCAAGACCCTCTGGGTTTCAGTAGCGATATGCTGCAAAACAAGAGTCGAATCCGATTTCTGATATACATATTGACCGTCCTTGTCAGTGGAGACCCAGTCCACTGAGATGGTTTCGGGAGCAAAGGCCTTTTTGAGAACGGTCTCATTATAGCTCAGAAGTCTATTTCCGCCTCCAGTAGGCGGATGAGGCTGGCGCGGCGGCTTGATAGCCTGGCAGATACCAGCAAAAAAAAGAAGAGAAAATGCCTACAAATTTGACTTCTCAGTTAATACGTCACATTTTCAGAGACAATTTGAACTTGTTATGAATTTGTTTGCTTTGCCAGACTTGCCTTCATGTTGAATTTTTCCAATGGAAGCGAAATCACCAACACTGCGACTGAGCCCTTTTCAGCGCTGGAGCAGCGCGCGAAATGAAGAACCGGAAACAGAGGTGCGGAAGCAGCACCGTTTTCTAGGGGAATTTGAATCTAGAGTTTCTCTGTAAAGGAATTTCTTTCGGTACCTCCAGCATCCGCAGAGGACTCATGCTGAGGGGAACAATGGTGATAGATAGGATACGAGTGGTCTCGGTTGAACAAGGTTATAAACATCTGGATATGCATGATGTCCCCAGCCAAGGACCCAATGTTTGCAGATCGCTCATGTTATGTCAATGGCAACTTTTCCTTTCCTGCAAATCGGCGGCTGTTTAACCATATCTTCCCTAGTTCCTCTCTTGGCCGTCATCAAACAGGACAGAGGATGTTACATCGACAATTCAACCAGTTGCAAAATTGTTCTTGATCTCCCTGCTTCGAGCAGATATACAGCGCTGCAATTGGTCGAAGGATTGTCAACATGATTATGCATGGAGAACAGTTGCAGCTGGTGCCTTTGGATGCCAGAGTGCTGAGTGAGAGATGCGGAGAAGTAGTGGCTCAGATAAGCATCATCGTAGTGCAAAGTCTAGTAAAGGCCGTCTAAAGGCTGCCGTACTAACCAGTAACTAACTATTAGTTCAGGGGCTTGATCGACTTCCGCAGCTAACCACAGTGTTGATATCTGCTCTGATATGCTTTCGTCTTCCAAATTCCAACTTGGTTTCTGCCCCTCGAACAAGTTTGTAATATCTTATTCCGGATGGATAATGCTATTCAGCCAGGGATGGTCTGTCCAACAACCCTGCCTTGAGCCTGGCATTGGTACATCACAACGTGGATACGCATAAGGTTGCGCAGTTTCTGCTCCCTTGGCCAGCGCACGCCCTGGGCTGTTTGTCAACTTCTGACCAGTTTGCCTAAGTCGCATTCTAGTAACAATGGGGCCCTCTTCATGTAGGAAACCTTCGAACATAACGAATCGAGGCCAAATCTCTCGGAATGCAGAGATAGATCTGCTGACACACCGTGTGCTGGTGGTCAATGCAATTTCTGGCTGCATTGCCAATCACTCAGGCTATTCTTTTAACATTCACAGGTGCACCTTCTTGGGCCTTATTGGGCGCGAGATTCCAGACCAGTTCTGTTGATACAAGAAAACAACTATCAGGGCTTGGTTTTGTTTTGTTTTTTTTGTTTGTTTGTTTTGTTTTTTTTTTTGTTTTGTTTTGTTTTTTTTTTCCTCAAAGCCTTCCATCGCGCGGAGCTAGAAGACGGAATCAAGCAGCCAGAGCAACAAAACCATCCGCAAAACCAGAGTCAATTTCCACTACACAACATCGGTCTGGTACATCACAAACTACATTTCGTTTAACCACCATTCGCTGACACCGGGTACACTTTCCGCAAATTCAATTAAAGTAGTCAAACCAAATTCGTTGCCACCCATGCATCGAGAAAAAAAAAATGTCACCACTGTCGACAAAACCGTGGCTGTAAGGATCGTTCCTTCGTCGCGGAAATGCCATTAGAAAACGCAGCATAAAGCTTTCAAACTCCACCCGTCAAATTACCATATCTCCAGTCCTATGAGACACTGGAACTACTGATTTCCAACACTACTGCACACTCCAGGTTTTACAAATCTTCGTGTCAACTCCATGCATCTCCTTCGGGAAATGACAATTTGGTCGGTGGCAAGGATTGTTCGGACACCTATGGCCAGAATAACAATTTTCGTCCTCGCATTCCAAACCAGAAGGACACGGCGCCAGTCGCGCTACGTAGCGCAAAGCCTCCATCATTTTATCGTTCAACCTTTCGCCATGCTCATGCTTACAGGCAAGAAAGTGACAGGTGCCCAGAAGATGGTATGGGTTGCAGAGCTTTCGCGATTTAAGACTTTGAACAATGCTTGATGAGGGTTTAATTGGAGAGTCGACTCTCTGCCCATGTTTATTTTTCAGAACCGCCACCCCGCACACGGTACCGTTACCATTGAACCAAGCTGGTCCGTTGGCGCCGCTCGGTGATCCCGGCGTTTTCTCAACTGGTGCCGGCGTGGATGGGCGAGACCCGTTATACGCCGGGGGCGAACTGCTAAAGGATGCGGCAGAGGCATAGCTTGGTGGCGATTTTGTCGGACTCGGTTCATATATTGGCGTGGCGGAAAATGAAACTCGCCGAATTGGAGGAAGTTTCGTGTCACGGAAAACCGTCGGGAATGAGGTAGTACGGTATTTGTCCTTCAACTGTGCGAGCTCTTTCTCGAACGGCGGTCCTTCGAGCATCGTCACACGCTTGCAGAAGTCTGTAGTACTGCTGTAGGGCCCGAGTAGCCGGGCATACCCGTTATCTGTGGAGCCGGCAAACACGATGTGTTTGCAATGGACATTGCCGGCGTGCAACTTGAAAGTTTCTATATTGAAAGTGATCAACTGGGAAATTCTCTCTTCCATAGAATGGCGGTGGGGTATTTATGAAAGGCAAAATGCCTAAGAATAGGAACTGACCTCGAATCTTCTCGTCCGAGCATTCCTTGCCAGCACCAGCGTCCACAAAATCGCATAGGGGGTGGCCCATGTTGAACCCACGAACAAACAGCTCAAACTCATTTTCATCGTCCAGTATATGAGCCTCCTGGTATGTCCTCCTCAATCCCTTCAAATTTGCGTAGACACGGACAACCACAGGGAGGTCAGGGCGAAGATCAGCCAATTCATTCTGTACGTACTCCGAAACATGTTGGATTAGGCGTCGAGCGGCATCTTGACCCCCTAATTCACCATTTTCTACAAACTCGTCCAAAAACTGCAATACAGGATAGTATCAGCATTGACGAGATCCAATGACCCTTAAAGGTTTTTAAAATCCACAAGGGAGAACGCGGTAAAGTCCCATACATTCATCGAGTCTCCATCAACCAAAACGGACACAAATGCATTACGTTCCTAGATATCAGACACACATACAGTTAGCCCAACTCTTCAAAAGTTTGTAAAGTATATATATCCAGCGACTGTGAAAGACATCTTACCATATTCTGCTGAAGCTTGGTCAACTCTGTCTTTGCTTCTCTGGAGCGTTGATGATACATATTTGCCATATCCTCCTGTTTTTCTAGGCGTACTTTCTTCTCGTCAATATCTAATTCGAGGTCTTTGATCTTTTGGAGCAATCCCTTTCCCCCCACATCCGTCAGTTTTCAAATGCTTTCTCCAGCGGGTCAAGGAGAATTGGATCTGGGATTAAACAAGCAAATTAACGAAAAATCACCTCGACGAAACCGTAAAAGGCTTCATTGGCTTCTCTAAGCTTCATAAAGTGCTCATGATCAGGGCTGGCCATCCCGACGCCCGTCTCTGACATATCTGGAATTTCTGATATTGAAATCTTCGTTGCTTGCTCATTCGAAGTGAGAAAAGTAATAATAAACGGCCTGATGCTTTGGGATTATGGGACACAACACCAACTGCTCCATTTTTGCATGTACATATATATATATGAGTAACTAAAGGTTATATCGACACTGAACGGTACACTTCACGCCCGTCCAAACGGCCACTTGTCGGGCGCCATTAGGCAAGGCCTTGCATAGGATTGAGAACAACAAATGTACGATAAGAATATACAGTTTACCAATGAAGAAAAGGCACATCAGGATTTATTTGACTTAGGGGCAAACTGAGTAATGAGCATCGACATCATTTTCTGCAGTTTTCAATTAAATATTACGGCTATGCCCCCCAACTCCAACTCAGAGGCCTTGTTTTCGTGTGCTTTTGCTTGTGCTTGCTGTTCTTGAAGCAATGCATACTGTATGTACTGTACAGTCAATGTATATGCGAACGAGGGGTTTGCGGGTTTGACCCGATTCCCCAATGCTGCAGCAGGCCGAGGCTGGACAACAACTGCAGGCCCAATGCCAGCCGTCGCCGCCTCACCCCAGCATCGTCTGGCAACTGTGGATTCAACGTATCAACTCTCTTGTTGTCATGTTTTTGCCTGTGGTGGGTAAATCTACCGAGATTTAGTTAGGATGGAGTTATGTGTGTTTTACCTTTCATTCCTATCGGCCTATCATTGCCTTGGAATACAAATATGCCGTGCGGACATCGATTCCAGCCCTTGATTTATCCGGGAAAGATAGGTCTTGCTTGACCCCCCTCCCCCTTTTCCACCCAGTCACGGTTTCTTACTTTGTCCATCTACATGTAAGGAGGTAAATCCATTTACGAGTCGCTTCACGCTCAATGGATTAGGAATTCAGGATGCTAAGTGACCCACGCGAGCACCTGGAACATGACGAAGAACTAGCTTGATCTGTGACAGAGCGAGACAGCATAACCATTTGGCCTACCCCCTCCACCGAAACTTGTCATTTCATCGCTGTCATCGCATGAGCTCTAAGGGCTAAAACCAGAAGTTGAACAGCGAATAGCTATTTGTATCGTTGAGAGATCGATTCCCAAGGCTCCTTGCCGGGGTAGCCATAGACTAAGTCAAATAGAATAGCTAATCCATATTCTTTAATGCTACTAAAGTCTTCACATCTTACGCGGTACTCCTTTTTGTCTCAAAACAAGAGCTATCGTTAGGCACTATATTTTGGTGCGATTACTCTACCTCCAAGGGAATCCCGACAACGCCTGCTGGTGTTTATTTTGCCCAACCCTTTCTAATTAACAACGCCCCAGTCGACACTACTGCGCGATCCATGGCTTGGTAACTGTGATATCGGAAGGGTATAACCGACCAACCATGCATCGCGGTAAAGGCATTCTCAGCAGACGTTCAGGTTCCTGTGCAACATAGTTACCTTGTCCAATGAGCTCATCGATTGTCACCTAACGGAGAGACGAGGGAGGAGATATTACTTATCAATGTCCCCAAAAATCCTTGGATATGATCAAGGACAAAAGATATTAATCGACTCTTACGCTGTTGCTATCTTTGTTTGTTTCTTCTTTCTTCGATGCCTGGCTGGGGTTGAATAAAATTGATGTTGGCCGAACACACACAACATATGTTCTATTGAAGGCACCTTTTCATACATAGATAGTAAAAAGGGATTCCGAACGTAGATTCTTCCTCCGCTGTTTGAATGCCTTTCCTCAAGTCAGCGTGTTCACCGAAAGAAGGGCGACTTAGATATTTCGCTTGTATCAGTTATCGGTCAATTCTCAGAGAATATCGTGAGGATCTCCAGACTTTGATTCATGTTCTCTCTTAGTCTTTAAGGAGATATGTGTCTGTAACGCGGCACATTCAGTTAACATTGGTTCAAGGCGATTATGGGAAGTAGAGTTCCATCAGATCCACAGAGTTTGAGGATAGCCCATAGGTCTTGCCGAGAGAGTCCTCAACCACCTGTATGATCGTAGTCAACGGAGTTCCACCTCAGAGATAGGCTAGCGGATGACGCGTATAGAGATCAACAGGTGCTTCCTAGGGGACTCTTCTTAAGAGATACATTCGCTTGATATGTGTGGAACACGTCACACACATATATATCCAGCGTAGGAAGGCTAGCACTTGGTACTCTTTTTCTTAGGTATTCGCTGCACTATTCAGATAGTAGAGGGGACAATGAAAGTCTTTTTTTTTAGTAGCTCAAGGTCAAGAAGTGACATCAACTGAAACGTGTTCGTTAATGAGTGTCATGTACTAGTAGATTGGACCCTCAATTACGTCTCGCAACATGTCAATCAATGCGGGGGATTCGCGAAGCCAAGGTGTGGTCTTTTGGGTCTCGAAAGACACCTCGCTTGCATTACCTTACAGTCCAGACCGTGGCCTATCATCGCCGAGTTAGGCATTGCATTTGGCCACTAGTTACCCGTATTCCCAGGAATAATCAGGGCAAGTACAGGATCCGGATCTGGAGATCAAAAGCTCCACCCAATCCACCACCAAAATTGCAGTTCATTTAAAGAGTGAGATATTATTGTACAACCAATCAACGACAGAGATTATCACATATGTTCATCAAAATTTCGAGTTGCATGTGCTGGTAACCTAACTTCTCGTAGCAACAATTCTTTGGGGGTCGTTGATAACTTCCCTCACAGTCACATGACATTTCAGCCCTAATTAATGTAGTGTAACGCACAGACCAACTGGGTCTCCTTGAAACAAAATCGCGATTTCCAAATGTTCATCTTTGCAAGGAGAAAGGTTGTAAGATGGCTTTATCTGAAAATGCAAGTGTAGTAAGGCCGGGGATAAACGCCTGTTCTCGTTCATCATGCAAAAGCTAATTAATGGACATTACTCACGATCAATACTAACTGGCTAACTACCCATGTTAGTTAACTAGTATGAACTTGTGACGTAACTTATACTAGCATAGTTACCAGCATAACGTTATCCTTCACCATTGACAACGGCGCGCATTGGATACCACCGCCAAGATGAATATATCCATAACATCATGCGAGGGCTATATAATGCGTGCCTTGAGTTGCTAGCTGAGGTCCTAATTTCGATATTCAGCTACAATCGTCACCACGCTTCATTCTTTCAAAGATTTCAAATTGCTCCTTCTCTGTAAAGCGGGAAACACCCTAACCCCCAAAATTATTCACAACTACATTAAAAAAACATGCAATCTCCAAACAACTGGTCCTTCCACTCGATCGCCGGAGCTTATATGCTCGGTTTAGTCCCTCACGGATACTACATCCTTAAACTGGCTTCAATGAGACAGATATCCAACGTCTCGTAAGTCATCCCCGAGGGAAATATTGAGGATCATTCTCTCATCCTTACATATATACCGCGGAATGGATCGCTAACAAAGTGGGTTTGTTTCTCCGCCACAGGCCTCGAGACCACTTCACCTCACTCAAGGCTCGCCTACCCGCAGATACGTGGAATAAACTCTCTCGCGCGCGCAGTGCGCATCTAAATGCATTGGAGTCACTTCCTTTGTTTGCCGCGGCAATGGTATGTGCACCTTTCAATGAAGCGCTGAACCCCCAGAGTTCCAGGCTGTTCGACATAAAACCACTTTAAGAGGGGATAAAGGCTGACATGACTTTGCATTTCGAAAATACTGTAGATCGCAGGAAATGTTGCGAAGCTCCCTGCTGGCGATCTGAACACGATTGCTGCTGAATATATTGGTGCCCGGATGTTATACACTGTGCTGTATATGGGTGTCAAGTCGGAAGGTCTCAGCTATCTGCGAACTGGAGTGTGGGCATGGAGCATCGGGTTGCCACTATATGGTCTGCTCAAGGCTGGGAGAGCATTGGCGATAGTGGAGTGAGGTGTTCCTTTCAATCCTTCCATCACGGCAGTGATCTCGTTGGTGCCAAAACTTTTTCTATTCGTACGGCTGTATATATTAGGCGAGTCTATTTTAGAAATAATAGTTAATTTTTGTTCTGGGAAATAAATATATATGGGTCTTTTTGTCTTATAATTCGCCCACCTCAGTCTTCAGACCTAGAGCTTGGTAATATCGTGTTTGGATACGTCAATTAAAATTGCGTGACGCCCGCTCTTTAAAAGATTTCACCAACAAATAAAACCCCCTTTTCAGATTCCTGCGGTGGGACTCCTTTTTATTTGGCTGGGCGATTGGAATTGGATTGGTACTCTCCGCTGGAAACAGACTATCAGATTCGACTGATGGCACTTCGGTCCAAGCTCTGTGTTCACGAATAAGGTCTTTAACCACTTCTATAACGGGCTCGTGGTCCTTAGACGACAACTCAGTATATTTGCACCCAAGTCTTCGCGCAAACTCATTGCCCTCGGCTGTGGTGACGGCCCGTGGCTGGGTTATGGTTACCCGTGCCAGATCAGCGACCACAGTCATTGGCTTGAGCGGCATGAACGTATTTTCCTTCCAGAAGATTTTAGACCCTTCTTCGTGGAAGAATTTACACACTTTCAAAATGTTCAAGTTTATCCCCCGGATATGGGCCATGGGGAGCGGGACAGGATCAGGGCATTTCAGGGCTGCACGAAGGATGGCGAGTTGCAATTCCGGCGGCAGTTTTGGGAAGCAGGTAAATGTTAGAGGTGTCTGCAAACTCGTCTTTTGGCAAATTTCTTCCGATGCGTCCTTATCGATCAGTCCCACAGGGATCGAACAGGTCCGTGGAGTAGATTCACGACGCATAAATTGAAGGAATATTGCATGATTTTGCATGATCAAATCAAGCTCCTCCCGCGCGGTGACATCGAACGCTAAGATGATGGCGTCGCTGTCGCGGAAAATTTGGTCCAACAACGCGAGATACCTTCTCGTATCGTCGTATTTGAATTCCAGCATTTCCACGAGAGCGACCTTGTCGTCCACCACCATCTGCTTTCGGTAACTGTCGCAAAGGTGGTCGTATGTTTCCACCCAGGAGTTGTAAAAGAACTTGAAATCGGCGAAAGTTCAGTTTGCGTGGTATATAGCACCGTGAAGGAATCATCAAGCACCCAAGTAGAAGGACGTAGTTACCTGACCATAAAATCCTCTGCCATAGCAGTTGGCGCCAACCAAAAACCGCACCACTTTAGGTTGAAAAGGAGGAGCCATATCTGTGGTTTGAAGTAAACTATCACTGAGAACAAGGAGGTTTCTTTACTAGAATATTGGTGGTGGTTGAAAGAATTAGCCTGGTATGCGACTTAGCCAAGTTGATTGACGATATTAGTTGCCCCAGGATCTGATATTTGCGCGATGAAACTACTCACGGTGATATGATAACGTGGTTTGCTGTGGTCAAGGAGAGCGAAGAAATCTCAGGTAACTACTCTTGTCGGCTCTTTGCCAAGCAAAAACTGCCTTGGAAATCATTCAAGAAAAACACATAAACAGACATAACTTCAAGAATCTTTAGTTATCCCGACTTGCTTTTGTCATCCGTGGGTGCTGTACTTCTACAGCTTCTTCTCCTGAACAAACAGAACAGAACAGCAGGCAATCAGAAAAGCAAATTTCCACCTACCAAGAAAAGAAACCCGAAGAGAAGAAACAGTGCTTGAGAAATAACCGCCATTACAAGAAAGAACGAAATATTAATTGTTCCTCCGCAACAAATTGATCAAGCCAACTCCTGTTTTCGATAGCCACCTTGTAACTTGCCCGGTTCTGTCAGTTCCGATTGTCTAATGCAACAGCTACACCCTCCTAGACTTCATTTCTCGATATCTTTTGGGTCCCTCTCCTGCGACTGGCGCCACAAGAAGATCATGCATGTCGCTGACAATGCAAACAATATGCTGTCGAGTGAAGTTAGTTGAAGCTGGCACATGTAAAACAGTTTCAATGCGTGACTGCCACCTCCACTGCACACAGAGCGGGGAACTGCAAACTCACCAAAGAGCTATGCTAAGGCCCCAAATAGATTTCATCTCAAGGCAATATCCCTTGGAAGCTCCGACCCAGTGGCTGTAACCCAGTTTACCACCGTCCTTGTCAAGATTTTTCAGCAAGGCCGTGGTGAAGGCAAAACCGGAGGATTCAGTAACTTTGCCAATCAATTCGCAGTTGAGATAGGAGAGTGGCTTCCCAACAACAACTGCGATCACGATTACAGCAATCAAGTGAAGGGCGTCCATCCCTGCAGAGGCAATGAGAGGGAGGATCCCGTCCAGATAGAGGATGAAAGTAACTGCACAGTACAGGGTAGCAATGCATGTCTAGAAGTTTGCATGTATGTCATTAGCCGCCATGAACGTAAACATTCCCCCAACGGGATCTTGCGAATTTTCGAGAACCTACCACGCTTAGTGTGCCGACGAGCACTTGGGGTGGAGTAATGCTGGACTTGACCATGTCCGAAATGAAGTTGGCTGTCATGCCGATGACCGAGATCAAGCAGACCGCTTGAAGGACACGGACGACCTTGAACGTGATTCCAAGGGCGCCATCGTGAGATGAACCCATCTTGTGTATGCTAAGGTGTGCCGGTATGTAAACGGAATATGGCAAGGGAAATGTCAGGAAAAATAAGGATCGTGACGTTGTGAAGTGGCCGGATCGCGAGAGCTATCGAAGTTATTCGTTTTGAAAAAATATCCATATGAGTAGCAATGGATGATAAAACTATGGCTTTCCAGAGCCTATAGATATGGAATTTGACAAGCGAGGGTAGGATCAGAATGAAATAGAAAATTATTAAGGCTGGTTCAAAAAATTAGAGGAGGGAGACAAAAGAAGTTTGAAATGAAACTTGAAAGGCAACAGAATAGGAAACTCGTGAAAGAGAGAGAAAGGAGGAAAAGAGAAATCTTTTTCAGTTTGTTGATTGATCGCTGTGAACGATAGAAAACGAGATGGAGCGTGGTTTCCATGCCTCTTTTATATCCAAAGATCCGGTTGATTGATTGCCTTGTCGAACGATGTGATGTCGATCATATCGTCTAGACAGTTCCTTTTTACTTTTCTTAGAGATCTGTCCCATAATCGACAGTCATCTAGAATCACGGTATCGAGGAGCTACAGAGCTTTTGATCCATCACCAAGGTACTGCAGCCCGTTTGAGGTATGAAGATGCGCCGCCATAGCCAATCAGGGGCCTGAAGGGTTTGGTACCAGGGCCCAGGCACCAAGCCCCGGTCCCTATGTTGTGGTTGGGGACGTGAGGAGCTCTTAAAAATAGTAAACGTACGGCTTGAAGCGCCAGAACGCAAACCCGAAGTTTGGAGTCAGAGGCAGTAACCAAAGTCCCGGCGGGGCGCCGGTCCTATGAACCCACCACAGCGCGTAGTGACACTCTTAGCAGTGGAATCCTTGTACCGACCACAAATTAAAAGCCAAACAACCACATTCAACCAGGGGGTTCTGAAACACCGACAATATCATCATGATATATTCTTCGACATTTCCAATACACACACTCTCTTCGTTTAGAGGTGAGATATTTTTATCCGAGGGCATTCAATACGCCCTATTGTCCTTATTGTTGGCCGACAAAAAAAATGAAATAGAACAAAGTCAGAGATCTTTGAAAAGGTGGGCCGAGTTTGGAATTTAGCTGAAACTGTCTCCTCAAGAATGATCCCGCCCGGCATTTCTTTGCTGGGTCATCAGGTTTCAGTTTTGCTTTCATATCAGTTGTTTGTTTGGATTTTCGAAATGGTCTAGCCTTGGAGAAGCTCTCAGTTAGTTGAAGCTTGGAGCGATATATGTGGACTCACCAACAATGAGTCGTTTTGCACCTCGAACAAAATTTGATAATTTCATGCTCAGAATCAAAGTTCGCAGATTACAATTACACTTCTCAACAGGTCTTTTCGTGGAAATTGTACTTACCAGAAACGATAAGAACAAAGTAGATAAATCTTAATTAACTATGAGGCCACCCGTAGAGCTTGCTAGTCAAGCGTTGTGCGCAATAAGTATCCATCCCATATGCATTCGCTCCATTTTTAGGGCGGTAAAATCTGTTGTAGTTATCTGGTGTGAAGGTGTATTGCCGAACAATATATTTGCATCTAGAGCCAAAACAGCTTTGATGCAGCGATTTTATCCCAATGAAGTGAGAGAATGCCACGACAGAAGTAGATTCGTAGGCTGTGGTAAAAACAGAGCCAGGTCGAGTATATCAAATTAGCTCCCTTATCGAGCATTTGGAGAAGAGTGGAATGATACTTTGTCAAAACACAATTACAATAACCCATCTCACCTGATAACTGCTATATTTCATTCGTGGATAAAACTTCTTGCCCGCGGTCGGCTCTTCTTACCTCTTTCTCAATCAAACCTTATGATCTCATCTGTAGCTAAGAAGAGAATCACTAAAGTCAATGAACAGAGGATTTTGGTTTGAATCAAAAATCTGGCTGCTTCATCATGATGATATTTTTAGAATATAAATCTAGCAGCGAAATGTCTTTTCTTATACATGTGGCTTTCAAAGACGATCATCCATTTCACGATGAGCCACGAGTTGTGAGAAAAACCTTCTGAATTGGCTTGTTGTATTGCCCTCTCTGGCACATGTTTCATCAGAATATGGTGAACAATCTGCATTGTATCAGAGCTTTTAAGAGAAATGTCCGAAGAGTATATATAACTCATGGAATTCGGGTACTTATTTCGCGGGACCCTCGATAGAGCATCATATAACAGGTTCCATGGGTATGGGGCTTTTCCACGCATAGAAGTGGATGAAAATATCCTTTTCCATCAAAATAAAGAGTGTTGTATATTTTGTTGATCACCAATGTTCTATTTGACTGAGAGCAATGAGCATGATTAGCTATTAGCTTCAGTTTCAAGGATCCCAAGGATGGACACCATCCACAGACGCCAAGCCAGTCACTAGCATTTCCGGCTAGCGTTGCCGCGGGAAATAAAGTTAATCCGACCCAATAAAAAACGCCCGATCTCGATTTTCGAGAAAGCGAACGCAGCGCTGCACCAAGCGGTTGCCAGTCTGTTGTCCAGCACCGCTCTCTCCTCGGTGTCTTCTTGATGATGCTATCTTCTCCAGCGCGGCTGAGAAGTTCTATATCTTCCTCTAGAAATGGACAAAAATTGCAGGCTCATGTCTGCCTCTGGGCATTGCACAAGCCAGCGCTACGGTCAAGTGCGCTACAAATAACCTCGTTTTCAAATGCCACCGCTGAGAAATCATATAATCTACGATATACTCCCCGGTCGTACCGTCGAGGTTTCCACCACTCTGAATATGTATGTAGTATTTCGCTCATCTAGTAAGAGCAAGGCTGCTAATTTCTGTGTAAGGTTTCTTCCTACTCTTCGAACGCCCTCCGGGAATCGTTGCTCAAAACCGAGATATCGCAAGCCGAATTACAAGGCGATGGTGATATATATGACTACCTTCGCAAATGGCAGCAAAGGAACCAGCACTTGATCAATGAAATGGATCCAATCCAGGTACCTGGCGATGGAAACAACAGAACAACCCTTAAAGGTGATATGTTGAAGGACGGAGTGGGGAGCCAGGCGGACAATATTGATTTATTTGACATGGATGAATACCGCCACTCTCTCGATGAGGATGCGGGCTCGCGCTTCCTCCAACCTGGAGACTTGGTTGTTCTCAAATCGTGAGTCTTCCACCGTGCTATCTATAAGATTGTTCAACAGCTCACACAAACTAGAGAATCAAGTTTTTCAGATGGTCAGCTGGCAATATACGTACGGTCATTGGAAATGCAGCATCAGTTTTATACAATGAGAGGTAAATGGCGCTCTACAAGCCTCACCAAAACGGAATTTATCGCTAGCAAGGTGGCGACACTAGATATGTTGAAAATACTTTTGCCCTACTTTCCATCACGAAGAGTCGAAAAGGCCGCTCTGTCCCAGTTAGGAGAAGAGGGCGGTGTTCCACGTCCTATCGGTGCTCACCTTATTGAGTTAATGATGGGCTTCAGTGCTGAAGCAGAAGAATTCCATCGCACTCATGCAATCGTTTTGAACGACTTATACAATAAACTTGTTGCTGATGAGCATATTCCCATAATGACCCTAGATGAAATTGCAGAAAAGGCTCTTGGACTTGATCCTTCCCAATTGGCAATCCCACAGAGATGGGCTGTTCAAAGAGCAATAGGTCGCCTATCATTTTTCATCACTCCTAATAAGATTGGACCATTCACTGAATCATATACCATTCGGCCGAAAGATGAAGCCAAGAAGGTCGCCACAGTCATTCGCTGGACTCGAGAATACCAGAATCGGATGAAGAAACTCTCCTTAGGGGAAACCATACTTGACAATGGTAAACATCCGATAGAGATGTTTATCCTGAAGGCCCGACGAATCATTCACAAAAGCCGGCAGTCTAGATCGCCAACAATGGTTTTCTCAGTAGGGCCAAGTGCGAAAAAAACGTTAGCTTCTGTTGATGAAAACGGAAGTTCTTATTCCAAAGATGAAATCGAAACATTTTCTGAAACGGACAAAATTATTCTTGATTACTTTCGCATGTGGATGCTTCCTCCCTGTCTCATGACGGCTGGGACTTTGAGCACATCGGGTTCTACTATCCTTCGCGCTATCGGCCTCTACAACGACTTGCGTTTGACGCCGCCAACAGGGTATTTGTTTTTGCAAGAAATGGGTGTCCTTACTCCATGGGAAAATCTCCATGTCCTTTACGAACAACTGGCACTTCCTGGCCATGGAATTTCCCGAACTGCAGACATGATAGAGGAGGAATCCAACAAATTTTGCGAAAATCTTGGACCAGACAACCTTTCAGATACGATGGAGGCTCTAAGGAAAGACTGGGGTGATCTTCCTGTCTTCTGTGTTGATGATGTTCACGCGGCAGAAATCGATGATGGGTTTTCCGTCGAGCCTATTCCCGGTTCTGATGATACGTACTGGGTTCATGTTCATGTTGCCAACCCGTCTGCGTTTGTCCCTCCCGATCATATAGTTGCTAAAAGAGCCGCCGAATTCAAGAGATCGTTTTACTCCCCCGAACGAGTATATTCCATGCTACCTCCAGCTCTCGTCCACAAATATTTTAGTTTGGCTCCTGGCCGCCCAACTTTAACTTTCAGTGCGAAGATTAACATGCTGGGGGATATACTTGAAACCAATATAACTAACGGATATATCAAGAATATAATATACGTCACTCCAAATAAGGTCCGAAAACTTTTTGGTATTAATAGAGAGGAAGCCCCTTCCCTGACTATATCATTCGACGGCAGATTGCCAGAGCAACCTCCCGAAGAAGCTCAAAATGATATCCGTGACGAGCATAAATCAATTTTCTATACATTAGAAAAGCTAATGGCAGCTCGCCGTGAGAAACGAGTGGATAAAGGTGCTCTAGAATTTCTATCCCGCCGAAAGTCCCAACCAAGAATATATGGTGGAAGGGATCGAAATTCAATGCATTCTGTCGATAGAACCATTGCATATCATTATACTGGAGATCCAGCGGTTCATTTCAACAATATAGTAACTGACCCATTTGAGATGATGGAATCAACAAAGGAGGATCTTGTCAACCACGTCATGGTACTGGCTGGCGAGGTTGCTGGCCAATGGCTCAAGGACCGGCAAGTTCCAGTAGTTTTTGCCGGTACGTGGTATCACCCAGAATACTCGCCGTTCGTGAGGGATAGCGCATCAACAGAAATACCCAACACGTTCCATCTCGGGCTTCCAAGATCCTTTTCGTCGTCGACTCCAACACCTCATGTGTCACTTGGGGTTGATCAATACGTGAGGTGCACAAGCCCACTCAGACGATATACCGATCTCATTGCCCATTGGCAAATAGAAGCAATTCTTTGCCAGCAGGCAAATGAACCATCATCAGTCTCCATGCCTGAAATTCCCATGGAAAACCTCCCGTTCAAAAAAGCAGATATTGATCAATATATAGCTCGCTCTGATTGGCAGAATTGTCTAAAGACTCAAGCGCAAAACCGTTCCCGTGACTTCTGGATCTGCCAGGCTCTTTTCCGGTCCTTTTATTTCAAGGCGGCAAAGCTACCACAGACTTTTCAGTGTATCATCCAGGGCGAGAACTTTGATGCGCCGTACGAATTTGGTGCTGATTGGGACGAATACTACGGTAGACTACAACCATTCGATCTACAGTGTGTAGTCACCCATAGCAAGACAGCTTCACCCATGCAAATAGGTGATTTGGTGGATGTGGAACTTGTGTCAATTGATATGTATTCTCTTCGAGTGACTGTTAAGTTTTCTCGTCATGTCAAACGTCCGGAGAACGGTGCGCTTGCATCGAGAGGAATAATTCTTTAACTCAGCTTTACGAACCGGTCTAAACGGCGGTGCAACATCGGTACACCAGGATTTGTATGCGGGCAAGTAATGAACGTATCTGAACAGGATTGCCCGGGCTTGTTCAGTTCGCCTCCTACTCTGACGAGGTCGAATATCGCAATGTGTATAATAATACCAAATATATCGGATGCTCGGGATTTGGTTGCAACAAGCACGGGAGTTTAGATTTATACATGGGAGTTTCGGATTTTTGAGCCATTTAGAAGGTAATTTTTGTATCAATAGATGGACTGTGTACGATATTAATTACTCATAGAATCAATGTGATGATGGTTGGTTGCCATTGTCAGCCAGCCTTCCAACAATTTACATACCTCAGGAGTGACAAATGAAACTTTGCTGTTCCATTCACAAGAAATTCGAGCCATTATAGCGTAACCATCATTGGATTTAGTGGGGTGGGAGGCGGCATGAGTAGAGGATTCCTTGTAACTAAAATGTAAATAGAGTGAGTGGTATGGATTCAAGTTATTGTATGTACAGCACATTTATTAAACAGACTGGAGATTGGGATTGATTTTGATTTTAGGCCGTTTTCCCACTTAGGAAAGAGTTCGTAGAAGTTATTAGTGATAAAAGTATTCTCTTGTATTAGCATCGGACACGTATAGTTATTTGTAACATCGCGGAATGAAGTCGTATTTTTGATATGCCGTTGGAATAGTTGGTTAGTATCGAAGCATTGGCTTAACTACTACTCAAGGATGACATCATCCAATTTGGGAGACAGAAAGCCATTTCTCTCATCTCTTCTACAGTCCTCCGTGTGCTCACGCGTAAATAAAACCAAGGTCGTTTACGTTTTACTCTCTTCGACAGCTTTTCTGTCATCTCATCCCACAAACATGACTGCCGTCTTCCGTCCATATGCAACCGCTCTGATTACAGGCGGGGGCAGCGGGATAGGATTCGCTGTAGCCCAGCTCTGCCGCTCGCATGGCATGAACCTCATTCTAGTAGATATCCACGCCGAAAACTTAGCCTATGCCCATACGATCCTGGGTGACACCCCCACAGCTAAGACACTCACGCATGTCATGGACGTCGGTGACCTGGCTTCCTGGGAGTACCTGTCTCAGAAAGTCGGGGAGACGTTTCCTAACGGGGTGGATTTGTTGATGCTCAATGCGGGCGCAAGCTTCAAGCCGAGATCCCCTGAGATGCCGTGGGGAGATCCGGAATATTTTCAGAAGGTCTGTTTTCGTATTCTTCCTCAGTAGCTTTCTATATTAGCGGGGTCCATTGTGGAGGCCCTTCTGCTAATTCGACATACATGTGCATCACATACCCTAGACATTTTCAACCAACATCATGGGCGTCGTGAACGGGCTCTCTGTATTCATCCCGGTAGTTACTGCCTCAGCCGACGAGCCGCGAGCCATCATCCTCACTGGCTCAAAGCAAGGTATTACAAACCCGCCAGGCAAAAATCCAGCATACAACGCTAGTAAGTCCGCCGTGAAATCCCTTGCAGAGCATCTCAGTCACGATCTTCTCCCGAACAAGAATGTCTCTACACACCTCCTGGTTCCTGGCTGGACATACACTTCCATGACCGGAAATACCGGTGTGGAGCCTGATGCCAAAAGACCAAAGGGTGCATGGCTGCCCGAGCAGGTTGCAGGGTATTTGTATGACAAGATGGGCAAGGGTGAATTTTACATCATTTGTCCTGACGACGAGGTCTCCGAGTCACTTGACCGGGCAAGAATAGCATGGGCAATGGGGGATATTATCGAGCGCCGCCCGGCTTTGTCTAGGTGGAATAGCATGTGGAAGGATGTCGCGGCGAAGTGGATCGAGAGGGATGCTGAGGTGAAGAGAAAGTCGTAGACGGGCGTGGTCCAACTTTTGCAATTGAAACAGAATCAATCTTGTTATGTTCTGCCAGGTTATTGCGGCCATGTTAAATGGAACTCCGTAGTCGGAAAGCAGATATGAATGAGGGATTTGGAATATTCGTGGGGGTAACAATGTGAAAACACGATTGTATAATGTATATGGATATCAAACAAATACTCCATTCTGCGCCATAAAATTCACTATGAAAACCTGGCGTCAAGGATCTACACTGGAGATATGCCGAGTTGTTTTCGCTTCTCTTGCCAATACAGGATCCGAGGTTGATGTCTTCCTCTTGCCGCTCATACCGCTGTAGCGCTCCTGAACCAGGGGCTGAGCGGTATGCAATGGCCCCCGAGCAGTAATTATTATTATTATTATTATTATTATTATTATTTTTTCGAAGGGGTAATAGCATAATAGGAAAGAAAAACAAGATGAGAATTCTGAGTCTCAAGGGAAAATCCAGCCGCTCAACATAGGTCATATATATATTTTATCGTACAATGCAATCCAACAATGAAAAAAGTGGCTCTCTTCAGGAAATCCATCCATGGCCAACCGCTCAATCGGTTTCCATGCGCGTGCATTTACAAATGTTTCGTCATGGGACAGAAGGCGTGCTGACGGGTGACATATTTGTTCGCACGGCTTGGGAGGGTTTGTGAAAGCAGGCGAAAACGTGGTTCGATTACAATCTGGAGGGAGGAGATGTTAGAAAGGACCGTACATAGCGAAAGATGCATTTTGCGGCAGAGGGATATGATGCCGATATTGGCTTTCTCAGAAATTTCGACCCTTCACCGATGGTTCGAGCATATGTCCCCCTTTGTCTCTGTGCAATGCAAACATGAATTGGGGAAGGGTATAAAATAGCAGCACCATGAATTCAACCACCGTGACCCGAAATTCCCGCGGATAGACTTACTGAGGAATAAGCAGCTCACTCAGACTGCTATGCAAGATTGCGACAGCGGCCTAAAGCGATGATTTATTTGTTAGCCGAAGCTCAACTTCATAAAATGTCCAAAGGAGCTCCACGTCTTATCCCGCTGAAGGAAAGCTTACCCCGAATACCAGCACACTTCTCACAATGGATGCATTATCAGGAGATGTGATGGTGTGGTAGATTTGATAAAGACCTGATTCCGGCTGCCGCTTCTTCACTGGGCAGGATTGTACGACAACGCGTTGCTTGGGAGCCATGTTGTGTGATGTATCGATTATGGGGATAGAGGAGCAAATTGCTTTGGTTGGGAACGTTATTAATATCGTAAAATAGTGGGGAGCAGCGCGAGTCATGTAGAATTAGTTGGTGACGAAACGGAAAAAATCTTTGAAACGCTCTTGTCCGCAACTGCACGGGGTGGCATGTGTCGTGTGACGTAGTTTCAAAGCTAC